TCACACACACACACACACACACACACACACACACACACACACACACACACACACACACACACACACACACACACACACACACACACACACAATAAAGTGACAATAAACGATGTAGCTCTGGCATGCAGGCTTTACCTACAGATCACACGTCTTGCTACCAACATGGTTATATAATCCGTGCATCAGTGAGTGAGTGAGTGTGTGTGTGTGTGGTTGTGTAGTTGTGTTTGTGTGTGTGGTGTGTGTGTGTGTGGTGTAATAAGGTGACAAAGACAGAGGACAAGACCAGAGTTAGAGCAGAGACAAACACAGTGAACCCACTGTTTTTATAAAGGTCTGGGTCACTAGTTCACCAGCTGCTGTTCTGGTTAGTTAGTGGTCTCTAGATCACACATTAAGTTTACTGAACTCCTGTCCAAACATGTTTTAACACATGCAGCCGGTGATGAGTGAGTTCCTTCACCTACCCAGACTCTGCTTGGTTTGGTCGATGAGTTTCTTGAGGCGAGGAACCTCCAGGAAACTGAGGCGCTGTGTGATGGAGTAGAGCAGCAGGAAGCCGTCGGCCCAGCGGAGCGACGCCTCCAGAGAGGCTGCACAGTTGTCCTGCAGGAGCATCACCTTATTAAAACACCACTTTGTATACGTTATGGTCATATCAAGTCACCTTGCATCTCATTTGTCACATCACGTCATGTGAATCATAGTAATTCCATCATCAAATATAGATTTAATGGTGCAAACAATTGAAAAAGTTTGACATTTTGGAAAATACGCTTTTGTGTGCCATTTTTATCGTAGTTTGATAGTTAACTAAGCTTATAGTTTAAATCACAACATACATCTGGGACACACCTCTAAAGACAACTACTTGCCACAAGTTTTACATATATTCTTCTGGCATTTATGATCAAGAGACTTAATTTACTCATAATTTAACATCAATTTGAGTCAAAAACAAAGCAGAAATGTTGACAATATATTTGTTAAGATCGAGGAAAACAGGTTAATGGAGTTATATATCTCAAAGTTTCATCAGGACTCAGTTTTGAATACAATTTTCTGTTGTACTGGCAGCCCAGAATGACTCCAGATGCTATAAAACACACATAATTCAATCAAATGTAGTCATTCATTTTTCTTGCCAGGAACATAGTATGAAACTATCAAGGTTGTTTTCTTGGTATCTTAGATCTAATTACCCGTAATAAAAACATTTAGAAACGTGTTTAAAGTTGACTCAATGACAGTAGCGAAGTTACAACAATTACCTTACAAGCTAAATCCAAAATCTCCAGATCAACAGCTTCCTGGTCCACCACCCGACTGCACCTGTAGGTCACCTCTGTGGAAACACACACATATTGTATTATTTGAATCCCGTGAGCCTGGTCCAATTACTTCTCCTATGTCAACAATGATTACAGTCGCACATATTTACCTTTTTTATGGTCGTACTCTCCAATGAAGCGCTTGGTAATGAGTCGAACACACAGAGCTGCAGACACAAAGAGACACTGATCTGCAGCATGTTCCTGTTGTTCCTTCAGAGGAGAATGATCCTCTTAGTAACGCTACCTGCCTTCTTTAAACAAAGGCAGAAGTGCTTTCTCTGTGTTTGGGTGGAAGGAGTCTGGAGCGTTTGTTTGACGTCTTTGTCTGCAGCGTGAGAGCTCTGAGTTTCCCTTTGGCAGGACACGCTAAAAAGTTATTTAGGCTCCTTCAAGCTGTTGTTGGAGACTTACTTGGCTTTAAAGTAATGTTTTGAGCCTGAAATTATGGCTTTTCTGAAACATCCGATACACTTTTATGAAAATAATCTGCTGTAAGTGTCCTGTAGCAGTTATCACACACATACATACATTTTAACATGGCAATGTGTGTTCTGGTGTATGTGTAAGGTGCTTTTAATGTGGCTCTGTCCAGAAATCCATACATTTTAGGTTGAAATCAGTAACCAAATATCTTTAATAAGTTGTCCTATTGAGATGAATCCTTTAAAATGTATCTTAAGTCTACTCGCTATCTCATTTGATTTTAAAGGCTTAAACAGCATTGTCCGGGTCCATTTTTAGAGCTTGTGAGGAGAGGTCAGCGTTAGACCTTTGTGAGGTTTCCATATTTAGAAAAACCCTTTAAACCGTGACCGAAATGTAACCCTAAACTTAACCTCTTTTACGCGCCTAAACTGTGGAAAACATGTGACCTAAGCTACTGTTACTCATCCAAAGACTCTTCCTGTGTTTGTTTACCTGTTTTTCCAGAGTTTTGAGATCCAAGAATGAGGAGTTTAACTGGAACCATCGTCCTGTTGGGTCAAATATTAGTCCTCTGTCGCTGCATGAAAACACTGAAGAGGAGAACAGAGGTGTCAAATGTAAAGCCTCACCACAAAACCTTAAAACATGTAACCTCGTAAAAAGAAGCGTAAGGGTTACGAACATACTGACCTTTAAGTAGAAATAAATTCCAGATATGGAGAGGAGTAAAATAAGGAACTCACTGTCTTCAGACACTGAGCAGACTGGAATGAAGAGACGGGACTGTCTTCTCTCTTTTCCGTGTGTGTGTGTGGTTATAGGAGCTCTCTCTCTTTTAGGGAACAGTATATGACAAGAGCCATTTGTCTGGAGGAGCTGTGTCTAACTCCAGACCCCTGTAAGCACTTCTGATTTATTTAAGACACTTAAACTCTTATGGGACTTGCAATCATTCCACAAAGGTTGGACGGAAATCCAGAGCTGAAGATAAAATCTGAACAGTTTATATCACCCCCCAAAATCTATTGTTTTCCTACCATCTCTACTATGGTTTTTGAAACCAGTTACTTGGTGCATGCCATGACAAAACTAGGGAGAGTGTCTGTAGCTCATGCCTTTTAAGTATTTTGATAAAGTTGAAGACACCTACAAAGGAGTTTCAATGACAGCCATAACAAAAAAAAACATTAAAATATTTCTTGTTCATCATTAGAATAACAGACACATGCCTAGAAAAACTCAAATCAACAACTTCAACTACAAGCGTTAGCAAATACATCTAAAAGTACAACTTAAATCTCAACGTTCCTGCTTTTTTTCTAATTAATTTCTTAGCTTTTAACGTCCTTTCTTGCTGTGACCCTGAGCTAACCTCTGGATTTGGCAAAACTGCTTTTTATTCAGGCCTCCCGAGTGTCCTCAGATCTAGAAGCGGCCAGATTAGAGCATATTTTACGAGAGAATATTTGGCTAACGCTTCCTGGAAAGTCAAAAAGAAATGGAGACTACTTGAATCATTGAGGTAATGCAGTTCAATAGGTTTTCTCTTGAAGGGGCAGAAGTTAGGAAAACATTAGTAAAATAGGTTATGTTAAGAAATGCAAGAAATAGAAACCACCCAAACTGGATTAACGACATTTGTAAGATTTTATTCATATTTAATACGTTCTCTTAATACGCTTTATTCAACAAAGCTTGCTCACGGGAGTGGAAAGGATCTAAGAGTATAGTACAAGCATCAAGGACAACTTTAAATTATGACGCGACACCGAGTTGGTTCAGAGATGTGTGTGTGTGTGTGTTTCAGAGTAGAGTTTATTGTTGTACTGTTCAGCAGACTGACGGCTCGTCGACTGATCCTTCTGTCACGGCTTTCACACATTTAGCCATCGTCTGGGACGCCCTGCTGATAGAGTCTGAACACAGAGAAACATAAGAGGATTATTGGACATTTTACATGTTTTAATGTTTCCTGTTTATCCCCTATTTTAAAAACACTCACCTGTCATGTAGAAGTCCTTTGCTGAGAGCTGAGGTGGAACCAGAGGAGAAGCGATGAGCTCCTGGTTCACAGCCTGCAGAACAACGATAAAGAGATCATTTCTTATTCTTTCTTTGGCATTATACTCTACAGGTGTGTGTGTGTGTGTGTGTGTGTGTGTGTGTGTGTGTGTGTGTGTGTGTGTGTGTGTGTGTGTGTGTGTGTGTGTACCTGGGCGAGTTCATTAGCCTGTTTGAAGTAGTTTGCCTCCTCGACGTCGTCATAACGGACCAGGTTGGGAGAGACCTCGGCGAGTCTGGAGCGGACCTCCTCCACAGAGTCGTAGGGCAGCGCCACACCGGCCAGCTGCACATACACATGTTCATTACATTTGTGGTCAATTTAAATATGAATATTATGTTTGAAATGCTTTATTTTGGTCACTTTGCACTTTTACAACTACAATTCTGTTGTAAAAAACATTAAATAAACATTTTCTGTGTGAAAGTGACAAAACAAAGCACATTTGTAATGACAGAAAAGTTGTAATAGCTTAAGCATAACAATTATAAAAACATTACACAACACCATAAGTATTGCCATGTGATAAGAGCATGTGACTGAAGTGATGCTGATGTTGAAACTAGGTGATGGAAATTAGTTTACAAGGAAGACGGATGCAAAGAGATGGGTTTTGAGTTTGCCTTTAAAGGAGTCAACGGAAATAGCTTATTACATCTACCATGTTCACCAATGAGTGACTTGGTGCTCACCTCAGACACGGCTCTGATGATCTTCCAGTCCTCTCTCGCCATCCCCGGCGCGCTGACGGCCAGCCGGGTGTGCTGGCTCCGCCCCTCAGTGTTCACATACGTGGCATTTTTCTCCGTGTACGCAGCGCCGGGGAGGACGATGTCTGCCATCGGTGCTCCTACGTCACCATGATGACCTGGAGGGGTTTAAAATCTTTAATATACTTTCTCTCTCATGGTTACCACTGGATATTTAAGTGTGTGTGTGTGTGTGTGTGTGTGTGTGTGTGTGTGTGTGTGTGTGTGTGTGTGTGTGTGTGTGTGTGTGTACCCTGGTAGATGATGAGGCTGTCTTTGGGCAGGTCGGCTCTGGTGATGCAGCCGGCGTCGGCTCCCAGCAGGAACAGCACTTTGGGAGGATTCGCTCTGATGGCGTCAACCCCCGCCTTGTAGCCGAGGTCCAACGCTGCCACCTGAGAGGCAACTCTGCGCACACACACACACACAAAATATGAGCAAGAAGCAACGATGAAACGTAGGAAATCTAAGTAACTTTACGTGCAAAAGAATCTCAAGAAATTACACTTTTGTTCTAGTTATTCTCCTTTGAAATTAGGCCAAAATAGTTGTGAATAACTACATTTAAATTGGCATGAGAAGGTAATTGATTCGTGTTGACAGCTTCAAATGAGTCCACTCTAATGAGGATTGTGGAGTTGTACCTGTGCAGGACGTTGAGGACTTTCCACCCCTCCTCCACTCCACTGCTGGTTCTTGCGTTCTGAGCGATGGAGGAGACGACGCTCAAAATAGCGGCTCCGTCTTCCCTCTGCAGAGCGCTGCTGCCCACGACCACGACCGGACGCTTAGCAGCAGAGAGGACCTGGAGACAAGAGGCGAGAAATCAAGTAAAAGATGCCAAAGAAATTCACCTGAGTGCCCCCAGAAAAACAAACCAGTTCATAAATCAGCCCCACAGTCAGATTGAGGTACCTCGCAGAAGGGGTGTGTGCCGTTAGCCAGCTCCTTCAGGACTGAAGTCTCCTCTCCCAGATGATCGTATGTGAAGCTCAGATCAACATTGTGACCGACCATGGCGACACGCAGCTCATTATGGAGCCAACTGAGAAAGAAAGGCAGGGAAAGGGAATTTATATTGATTACATTACATTGATTTTATACAGAAGGAATAACATATATGTTTGCTGCATTGAAGCTGTTTCAATGAGGAGAAATGAACTGGTAATTTCATAGAGGGATGTGTGAGTGTACCTCTTGCGGATGCGGGCGTTGAACAGCGGGGCTTCGTAGCGAGGGTTGGTTCCTACGAGCAGCAGCAGGTCACACTCCTCGATGCCGGCGATACGAGAATTCAGCAGGTAGTTAGAGCGAAGGTCAGTGCTGCAGAGGGAGGAAGAAGTGTTAAATATCGACTTCAAAACGGACTCTCCAGGCCTTAATATGTCTTATTTAAGGACCCAATAAAGCACACTGTGAGATGTGGATTAGGGTTAATTACTGTGACAAACAATACTGAGATCTTTTATAAAGAGAACTAGGCTTTACAGAAGTTCAAATTCAAGCCGTTTCTATTACGTCGAATTATAAACGCAGCCTTACCCGGCCCCAGACATCGGGAAGACTTCCTCAGTGCAGAGGTTCTCCGAGTCCAGTCTGTTGAGCAGGTCTTTGAGAGAGACCAGAGTTTCAGCGTCAGCCATCCCTCCTGCGATCGCTGCTACCTCATTGCCCTGCACGCTCTGAAGCTACACACACACACACACACACATTTAAACAAACAGACTCCAAGAGATGCATGAATAACAAGGCATGAAATGACATGTCTCCTATATAAAAGACACAAACAAACACTTACTGCTCCAGCAACACGAGTGAGAGCGTCCTCCCAGGTGGTCGGGGTCAGCTGACCTGCATCGTCCTTCACCATTGGCTGGGTCAACCTCTGCCTCTTCAGACCATCATATGCAAACCTGAAGACACATATTTGGGGTTAGTTTGTTATGCTAAGTCCAGCTACATCTGACTTTTTAATGGATTAAGTCAAACCTGATGTTTCTGCCGACATCACGTCGGTCATAAACATGCTAATGGTTTTGGCGTGGGTCTGTATTTTACCTGGTCTTGTCAGAGATCCATTCTTCGTTGATGTCTTCGTTCAGCCTGGGCATCACCCTCATCACCTCCCCGCCTCTTGTGCTCACCAGGATGTTACTGCCAACAGCATCCAGCACGTCGATTGACTCCGTTTTCCTGCAAAAGGCAGCAAAAAAAGTTGAATAAAACAATATGGCAGAATCAGACACAAAGACTAGCACACTGACTAACTAACCAAAACGCCTTCAAATTGAAGGATTCGCCTCTTGTTTTTTGTGTGACTATTGTATCAAATCGTGTCCTACCTGGTCTCCCAGGGTCGAGAGGTGAAAGCGTAGGGTTTGGAGGTGAGCGCTCCGACAGGACAGATATCGATGACGTTGCCTGAAAGCTCGGACATGAACATCTTCTCCACGTACGTCCCGATCTGCAGGTTGTTTCCTCTTCCTGTTGTTCCCAGGTCTTCAACACCTGCGATCTCGCTGGCAAAGCTACACAGGGATGCATGAACGTGCCGTTAGAGGATCTCTTGTATTAAACTTACTGTTTGATATAAATACGGATGCTTATATTGCCCGTACCGGACGCAGCGTGTGCACTGGATGCAGCGGGTCATGATGGTTTTGATGAGCGGCCCGATGTTCTTGTCCTCCACCGCTCGCTTCCCTTCTGTGAAACGACTGCGGTCTGAACCAAACTGCATGGACTGATCCTGAGAGCACAGCAGGCAGGAGTGTTAACATAGGAGAAATCATGAAATGGTTTGACGTGGGAGAAGTGAAGTGGTTATAAGCGTACCTGTAAGTCACACTCTCCTCCTTGATCACAAATAGGACAATCCAGTGGGTGGTTTGCCAAGAGGAACTCCATCACTCCCTCTCTGATGAGACACACACACACACATTTATAAGGCCAGTTTCAATAGCGGCTGAACTTAGGTGAAATGTAAAAGAAAGTTGTGTTAGAATTAGGGCTGTCAATCGATTAAAATATTTAAATCGCGATTAATCACATGATTGTCCATAGTTAATCGCAAATTTTAGATCTGTTCTAAATGTACCTTAGAGGAATATTTTTCAAGTTTTTAATACTCTTATCAACATATGAGTGGACAAATATGCTTTATGCTAATGTTTATTATCATTTGAACAATGACAAATATCCTCATGAATATTAAACACAACAACCTCTGAACATTACAAATATGTGTGTGTGTGTGTGTGTGTGTGTGTGTGTGTGTGTGTGTGTGTGTGTGTGTGTGTGTGTGTGTGTGTGTGTGTGTGTGTGTGTGTGATGGATCGTTGGAGCTATGTTCAACTCAAGGCATATGCTCGAACGGGAGCTGCCTGGACGCTGCAATCATGTTGCGCACTATCCGTGCTGAGTGTGCTGACTTTTCGTACAATGTCCCACTGTCTGGCTTCCTGCATAAAGTCAAGTGCTCGGCGCAGTTGTCGGCGAAATGTCGCTCCTCTGTTTTCATTTAAACAGCTCCTTATATCCGTTAGCCCAGCTAGCTAGCACCAGATGCTAACAACAACAATACACGTAAGGTCTCTCTCTCGCGCCACACATACACACACCCTCCCGGTCCTCCCGATGGCCAGTCGGTGCCTGCCGGTGAGCGTGGAAGT